TAACTAATAAAATATTAATGTAGTACAATCTTTGGCTTTGCAATTTGCCCTAACTAATCAGAGAACCAGAGAGAGAGAGAGAGAGGGTGGAGTGAGTACCAGGAGAGGAGGAAAGGCTCGTCCAAGCTGTTGAAGACGTTGATGATGAGATTGTCATTGGTGACGGAGTGGATGTCTGGCCCCGGGAACTGTCCATTTATCAGTATTCCCTGAAAATCCCACACATCGGAATCCCATTCATTTCAATCAGATCGGATGAATAAGATACTGATTTGAATCAACGTATAAAAACAATGCGAGAAATAAAATAACTAGATTTGGATGAGAAACCTTTTGGCGGACACCGAGAGGGTAAATGTCGCCGTAAGTGACATTCCATTCGAAGAATCTGTAGGGATCTTCAGCGACGGCTATGGAGAAGAGAGCGGCGAGACATAGCAGTGCCGAAATCGCACCTCCCGCTCCGTTTACCCGCATTTTAGTTATGCGTACGGCAGTCTAATTAGCTCCGATTAAGCTGACAACTGACTGAGAGATTTTGAAGGCGTTGGGATGGGCTGAAATTGGAACAATAAGAGAGAAGCAGAGCTGCGGATGGTGACTTTGGAAGGGAGGAGGAATGGCACCTGTATATATATTTAAGTGCGGTACAGAGTCTCACAGGAAAGGGATGCCGTGTAATGCAGCCTAGCCGCAAAGATAATGAGGGAAAGTTAATAAAAAATGATATTTTATTTGGAATGAAAAAAAATATGGAAAGAAAATAAAATGGCGGTGCATGTCGTGTCGGTGGTGTTTTTTCTACTTATTTGTTTATAATTGAAATTGAATTATGAAGTTAATGAGTGAATAAATTGGGAGTCTGAATTGTGTGTCTGCCACATGGGTTGGCTGTGTGTGAGTGTGGAGGCGGGCGTGGAGGTGGAGGTGGTGGTGGTGGGGTGGTAGTTTCGTTTTGGCGCCATCCCAAGACCAAGGAGAATGCATGTGAGTAAATGTGATTAGTTTTAAACTTATCCCTCATCACTCACTGATTAGTCAAGTCAACCATTTTCCAATCAAATCTGATCTGCCATTTGCCATATAATTTTAGAGAAGTGTTATTGACATTACAAAACTAAAAAGTTTGAAGTGTTATTGACTGTTATTTTACAATTATCGCAAGTGTATTTTTATTTCCAAATATAAAAAATTTGAAGTGTAGAATGAGATTTTTGAAGTGCTAATAACACATCTAATTTTAATTGGAATAATTAATGCCTAATCCAACCCAAATCTTCTACTTAATTACATAATGATATGAGGGTCAATGCTATCGTGAATATCACACGCAATTAATCAAAACTTGTAAGGGTTATATACACATATATAGATAGGGTTTCGTTTCATTCTTCTCGTGATAGCCTTCGATCTTACCTAGGAATCAGGAGTCAGGGTCAGGATTACTTAACTTTATTATGGTAATAATACAGCTGTAATACAGAATTTGAATGTCCAGTGTCCAGCAAAAACTCACTTTCTTCCCTCTCTTTTTTTTTTCTTTCTTTCTTTGTCTCTTTCTTTCTCGTTATTTTGACATAAATGGGTAATGGTAACAGGATGTCTGTAGAATAAAATCAAGCACATGTTTGACTGGATAAAAAAAAAGTAAAAAAGGAAAGCACATGAATTCAGACTTTGTTGTTCGCAAGATACATTCAAGTCACGTGAGAATGGAACGACACTATACTTACTAGCCTTTTAATTTTCAACTACATTTTACCCTCTCTTTTGCTCCTATAATGTCTTAAAATGTAGTAGTACCTCGAGTAAGTAAGAACATTTACTCCTGCATATAAGATTTTTCTTTTGGTTCTCCCTTCTATATTATTACTTGTGCAATGTAAAAAACTTTTTTCGTCTAGTTTTTTACAGTAAATAACTTTCGTATTTGAATAACCATTTTCTAACTGATTACCAATAGTTAATCATTTTCATGTTTGAAGAATTATTTTCTAAATGATTGCCAACAAAGTTACTGTTTATTAATTTATATTGTCGTAGCCCAAATAAACATGCAAGAAAGTCCGACCAAAGAAGTCATTAATAACACATTTACTAACGGTCGAATATGAATTGGACTAATACATTAAATAAACTAAAAAGTGTGAGTTGGAGATTAAAATTCGTTACCCAATACCTAAAATTAGAATTCGTTTCGTTAGGAGACTAGTTGATCTTATACCCGTTCATTCTTTCCTTCCCACAATGCAAGAAGAATAGAAGAAGTTATCACTCAAATTTACCAAATTTAGGGATAAAATAGCAGATTTAGGATCCACGGGACAAGGCTCACAGCGCGGCAACACATGCGTACGCGGTTTCTAAATTAGAATTCAAATGCGGCCCCAAACCCAACAAATTAATTGATAATGTTTGATTGCTTTGCTTTGTTGGTTAGTAGTAGGTCCCATTAACCATGATTAGAGGGTGCATTTTTAGGACTAGCATTCTCTCCCATCATTTTTCCATCCTCTCATCTCACATTCTCTATTTCATCTTTATTTTTTTATAAGATGTTAACATGGCTTAACCATGACCGTTCAAATGGAGGGGAAGGGAAGGGGAGAGAGAGAGAAAAAAAGGGAAGAGAATCATACTCTGCATTTTTGCTCTTGCTCACCATCTTTAAGCGATGGTAATGCTCAATGCTCATACCCAATAATAAAGTTTAAATTTTAAAATTTGTGTCTATTTACTACATAGATCTTGAAATTTAAACTCATAAATGAGATAATAGGTATCACCATCAAAACTTAAAGGTAGTAAGCAAAGGGAATTATTATTAGCACTCTAAAAATCTTATTCTACACTCCAAACTTTCTATATGAGGAAAGAAAAATAAACTTGTAAGGAGTGTAGAATGAGATTTTTGGAATGCCAATAACAATTTCCTAAGCAAAAATATTCCCATGATTAGTAGGCATGTTGAACTCGGACCATCCAACCACAAAAAGAACCAAATCTATGTTGAGGCCATAGTGGAGTACCGTAACACAGCACAAGACAGCTGTTCCACAAAAACATAAATTCAAAAAAGATTTAAAACTTATGTTGGACTCAATCATGTACTCAGTGAGGCCCACAAAAAGTAATACAAACACAGCACAAGACATGCAAACAATCATTGCTCTCAAATCTCAACCATCCCACAACCTAATCCCTCCTCTCTACGACATGCAAACAAACATTGCTCTCAAATCTCAATCATCCCACAACCTAATCCCTACTCTCTCTCTTTCTCACACACACGGAAAATGCGTCTGAAAGCTACATATGTTACTTGCACTACAACTAAGCTGACCAATTCTCAAAATTCAAATACGATAGACACCACTCTATTACTAACGTGGAATGGGATCTTATCCGGATCCACTTTATGGAGATCTTAGAAATTCTCACATCTTAGTCATTCATCGTCTATCGTACGATTAGAAATCATTTGATTTTTTTTTTTTATATTTAAAATTAAACACAAAAGTATCTAACGAAAACTTACCGCACAATGTAAAATGAACGGCTAAGATATGAAGATTCCTAAGATCCCCACAAAGTGGATCCAAAGAGGATCCTCTTCCTACTAACATAACACTTTCCTTCTCTTTTCTTTTCTTTTTCTTAAAAAATAAGAGGGCTTCAAAATGGATTATGACACTTGATGTACCGGACCGAGTTCCTAACACACTAAAAAATCTCTCCTCAAACTGACCCTCCCAACTGCTTCAATGCAATCATTTCATACTATTGAAGGTCCATATGGAAAGAGAGATTAAACCAATCCCCCAAGAATCATTGAGTGAAATGCGTGCAAGGGAAAGCAATTTCGACTCATGGTAAAAGACCTCTACGTTTATGTACCAAAGAAAATAAAGTAAAACCCAATGAACACCGCTTGGCTTCTTACGTATAATGAGTCATTCCTCCTTAAGTGTGAATTACAGTTCTACACAAATCAAAATCTCTCAATGAAACTAGGAAATGACAAGTTCTACCACATATCTAAATCATCTACAAGAAGGAACACTTGCTTACAGGCAAGGACCCAAAGTGTATTCCAACCTGAATTGTTGAATACATAGGCTAACAAGTTATTCGCTCACACCAATCATTCAACACACAAAGTTTAATGAGAAACGCCATGAACCCATTAGGATAACTTTTAATTCTTCCATCCTTTTGCTTGTTTGCCAATGAGATTAAAGAATGAAGTACCGGCTTCAAAGGTGCAGAAGCCAATGTGTGCGTATGCACACAAATCAACGATATGGCAACATAAGCTTGAACATGATAGAAATTCTATGAATTGGGGCAGAAAAGCATTGGCCACGAGAGGAGAAAGATAGGGGGTACGAAACTGGTAGTAGAAGTTTAACTCAATTAGAGATGTTCAGAGTGTAGTGTGATGGTAGTGATACAGAACTAGATGCAGGTTGTCCAACACATCAACCCTCAAATATCCAGACACAGAAACGAACCAAAACATAACACAAGATCCGCTGTCTACTTGAGCATTATAAGGAAACATGAAACTGAAACAGACTTTTAAGCGCTTGATTCATCTGCCCAAGATGTTTCATAACCAAAACAGACAACCCTTAACTTTACCTAGAAATTTTGAAAACGGATAACATGCTAAATTCATCACAGGTTCAGAATCTGCCAAAACTTCAGAAAACAGATGACAAGCGAAATCCATCACAGGATCAGAGCCAATAGAACGTTTGAATCACAAGCTCCAAGTCCAAGCAAACCACTAAATCTTGTTTACTTGAATTGAATTCGTATAGTACCCGACCTAAAATCATACTTTAAGCTGAGCAGTGAGAACTGACACCACCAACACTTTCTCGACCAAAAGTCGGTCAAATTTCAATGTTAAAACCTATAACCAAGGACCAAATGCAAGAAATCTAAGCAAACAATACAAATCCCCTATTCACTTACAATCAACAAAACACAAATTGAGCAGAGTGTTCAACAAGTTATTTGAAATATTAATTCCTTGTCACATTCAAATTAGCAATTGATCGAAATTAGAACACAAAACAGCATGCATTCTGCTTCAGAATCCTAAACCCCAACTCTCACACAAAAACCCTAGGTAGGTCCACAACAATTATTAATCGCGAAGCCACTAAAATTGAGCATCCAACTTATCAAATGTATTTCGTATCGAATAGCTACATAGAGTAACAATAAAGAGAAGGAATCCTCAGAACCTGAACTCACAGTGCGATCACTCTCGTTCTCCAAAGAGAAGGCGAAGCCTGGAAGCGAAGAGACCAGTGGGCTCGAGAGAGGCCTCGTGGAGGAGGTCCCGCTTGATGTTCCTCGTGCGCTCGGCTAGGGCTTCCTGCTCCTCCTTGAGAGCCGTCGTGTCCTCCTGAAGATTGTGGAGGCGGTACTTCTGGCCCAGCGATCTGACGCTCAGCAGCAGAATTCCAGTCATTGCGAAGAACTGGATGAAGCTGTCCTTGCGCTTCACAGCATTTGCTATGAACCCCAACGATTTCTTTGAGTTCTGGACGCCCGCGGAGGAGCCTGGCGGTGCTGATGATGCCATGACGACGGAAACTCTGTTACACAGAGCGCTGCCACTGCGCAAGTGTGACGAACCGACGAGAGTCACATATGAAAATGAGGTTTAAACATGTATTTCTTACGACATAATAATATGTGTCGTTTGTAGGACAAAATAAAGGACAGGATCCTCTCCGGAACATATCTGTCCCGATCCTCCGGATCAAGTCAAAAAACCTAGTTTCGTAAGCCTCACAGTGATCTCCACCTTCCTCCCCCAAATCCCCACCATCGTCGCCGTCTGAAGTAGAAAAAGCGAGCCCCCACAAGAAGCCTGCCACCCCAAAATTTCGATACTGCTTTGTTAACGACTTCTCCGATATTTGGTTTTGTGAAGGTCGCCGGAAAGCTTCTCCGATACTTGGTTTCTGATTTTCATGATGGTGAAGGCTTTGTGAAAGTGGAGATCACTGTGAGGCTTACGAAACTGGGTTTTGTGGGTTGATCCGGAGGATCCGGACAGATATCAAAATAACATGTGTAGTCCTTTACATGAAATAATGTGAAAGTGATCAGAAGGTGAAGAAATTTTGCAATGTGACGAAAACATGACCGATATACCAACTGTAATAATACTATTGGATAGAATTTATTTATTTTTAATTTTCAACAATTGTATTTTACATTTGATGCACTGGACTGTATTTCCGGCACACAAAGAAATCTCTCCAGAAGGTGAGCCTGGTGTGGTGAGGCAGCTGATTTTATCTTGTGACAAAATTGGAAATTACACAATTTAATCGTATTAGGAGGGTAAATATGCTAACTAAGCTACAGATGAGGAAACGTAAGCAAGTAATTACCCGCTAAAACCAAAGCATTACAAGTGTTGCAAAAAATATCCCAACCTAGCTTTATTATTACTGTCGATCATGATTTTATACTGTATAGCCTGCAGGTTTAATCAGAAATCCAAACTTCCACATTGCTTGCTTTCGATACTTTTTGTTCCATTTCTTTCCTTCGCATCCTTCTTGTCATCGTTATTAACTCCTCGAGTCCGGCCAATTCCCAGCTTTGGCAAACCCTTATTCAGCCCCTCAAGCAAAACACAGGCCTTGCACCATTTCTGCACAATAAAGCAACAATGTTCAGATTCTCTAACCAAGCTCTACCCAAGTAACGAAAGCAAACGAGTCTAACATTAATCGGATATCTCAACCACATGTCACGTATCGCAGGGTGAAACTAGTAACAAACTTACCTGACTGGAAATGTAACCGCACCGTTCACATGTCCCCTGTTCTGGCATCTTTGTTGAAGTTGATATTCTGAAATTCTCCCCAGATTTGATGATGTCAAGTATAGCCCTGGGTCTTCAGTTGAAAGAAGTCCAGTAAAATGTCAAACTAGGAGTACAGAATGTGCATACTGAAGATGTAATATAATAAAAAAAAGAAAAAAAATTTGTGACAACTACAACGCCAACCAGCAAAACATTCTCTCAGCAAGGCACTCACCTGATTCTTTCTAAATCCTTGATGAACTCACGAGCAAAACCACGATACGCATTGGGTGAATAAATGCCTGTAATTTGACAAAAATGTCTTCTGAGATCTAATTGTAAAAGCATTAAACATAGAAATATAGTGGCAAGGGTGGTTGAGCGATGGGAAAATAACCGAGGAAGACTTGAGAGAACTATTTAAGAGCCTAAAGGAAAGATAAATTACATTCAGTGGAGAAGTAGTCCAGCCTCTTGAAATATGCATACGTGCAAAATTAGTTAAGGCTTTGCAATCAATTCCAACTCAGCATTAAGATGAATAACAGTGATGAAAGAAAAAGGAAAAAAAAAAAATCAGTATTGAATAATTCAGCAGCAAGGATATATAACAATCTCCTTCTCATAGGTGTATTTAAAAGGTTTGCATCTTGGAATTGGCCCGTCTTCACCAGCGACAATTGAAGTGCATCTACTTAATCTACAAAATAAAACCAGCAACTCAGTTCACTTTGCAAACTTAAGAGGAAAAAAAAGAACATTAATGAAATATGAACAAGCATTACCTTGCAATGTCACCTCGTAAAATGTTCAACAGAACTGTTTCAGCAGTATCATCTGCATTATGTCCAGTAGCAAGCTTGTCTACCTTCAACAGTGCAGCACCACGATCGAGGGCCTGAGAAGTAAATAGATATATCCATTAAGTTGAATTGTTCCTTGTAATCTATCACCAACCAATAGAATTTGATCATGCCTTGCATGCTTAAAGTAGATATATCCATTAAGTTGAATTGTTCTTTGTAATCTATCACCAACCAATAGAATTTGATCATGCCTTGCATGCTTAAAGACACAGAGAGCTCACAAATGACAGCCTTTGTAGGTGTTATCAGCAGAAAGTTTGAATGACCAGTTTTAGTGCTTTAATTACTCATTCATAACTACGTAACAAGCACCATAAGTTTCTGTGCAATAACCATGTTGATTTGGAAATAATATTTTGTAAAAAAATTTGAATGCCCAAGTCATGTCTAAATACATACATATAAGATGCCTAGAAAAGGAAAAACACCAATTTCCAAGACAGCCAAATACCTGACGACGAAAAACACCACAGAAGGTGCAATTGTTCTTGAGACCAATCATCTTTACTATTTCATCCATGGTCCACCCATACAAATCCTTGTACGAGACTATTTTCAGCGGCAAACCATACTGAAAGTAGAGATTTCAAACGAGAGTCAGTTAAAGCTTAAAAGTAGAGAAACATAAGGCATTAAACATGACCGAAAACTCATAGTCGAAATTCACTTGACCTGGATTTCATTTCTTTTGACGGTTTCAAGAGAATCGTCCCTGTAGCCAGTAATGCCCTCATCCACTGACAAGAGGAAGAGATCCAGGCCGTAATTGTGCCGCCTATTCAATTCGGATAATACATAAGCGAGGACAGTGGAATCTGAAGGCAGCAAATAACACAAAAGGCAATAAGCAGAAGGAACTTAAGGACCATATAACATAACTTTTACAATCCAGTACGGCATTATAATTTATCACCACTCCCTAGCACTCCAAGCACAGCTTGATTGATTAGTTTACCTTTGCCGCCGGAGGCACCGAGGGCAATGCGCTCACCAGGCTTAAATAACTGGTTTTCGACAATAACATGATGAATCTCCTCCTCAAACACCTCGTAGAAACACTCCCTGCAAATCTTCACAGACAATAACCGATTCGATTCAATTCAATTCTAGGGTTTTACGACCGCAAGATACAGATTATGAGTTTATGCCTCTCATATCAGCTTATTGGAAATCAAACCTCAGTAGGAGAAATTACCTGCTCTAGGGTTTTGGGTCTCTTGAGGGCGGCCCGTCTCTCATGACAGATGCAACACTGGCGGCCCCCCGCCTTCTTCTGCTTGCCGTCGGCTGACGACTCCATTGAACGTGACGACACTCGGTCGAAGCTCAGGATCTGCGAACCAATGACGAATGTTCCCAGTTAATTGTTTTTGTTCTGCTCGCCTCTCTTTCTTTGCTTTCGAAAACACACGCACAATTTTGGAAACTACACATATTTACGAAGCCGTCCTTCTCCTTGATACAGTAGTCCTTAATATTGATCGTTATCAAAAGTATCCTTATTATTATTGATCGTTATCAAAAGTAAAACTTAAGGGTGGTTTGAAAATGTTTTAAAAATGACCGAAAATGTTTTCGGTTTTTAATTCTTAATAAAAATGCACGTCAATTTATGTCACAATCTTCACTAAATTCATCACATAAAATGAACAAATGCGCACAAACAATTTTTATACGTCAACAAAACGTCACATCCACAAGAAAAATTAAAATTAGTAATTCAATTATCGTAAAAGTTTAGGGGAGCTCATCTGTATTAACTCAGATTCAGAACTGATTTTGTGTTTACAATAGAAATCGATTAATTATAAACTGGTTCGAACAACGAACCAAATGGTACATCCAAAGCAATGCAAATCAAAGCCCCAATCCTAATTTGTACATCGACATTCTGATCAATCTGTGAAACAAATCTCAAATGGCAACTCTAAAACACAAGTAAACCCACGACTCTTCCCCTGGAAACCATGTAGCATGTACGATTCACAGCAACACCAGCCCGCCTGCAAGGCTGTATTAGCACTTGTCCTTGCCCGAATCACCCTCAAGTCGTCGCCGTATGTCCCTACGTAATATTTCAACATATTCCTGCAAAAGTCGAAGAGAGAGAACTGTTTAAATACAGTACGGATTAATCTCAAGACTAGCACCTCGCACAAACGACAAGCATATAGCACATACGCCGGAGAGACTCTCGTCCCTGCACAACTCATCCACAAGTTCTTGAGAACCGCTTCCTCTGCCAGACAGCTGCACCGAATTTTCAACTAAAGCATGAAAAACTTCCCCTGGTGCATTCAGGTTCTCGATTCTCTGAACCACTTCTTCGAGGTTAATCTAGAGCATGAAGAAAAAGAGCTATTAGAAGTTACATCAATTCAGAAACAAACCATAACCCTTTATGGCCACAAAACGAAAATATCATGTCCCAAAAAAGTGAAATGTTATACAAGACTTTGATGAATAGACAAGTTATACAAACCTCAGAACTAGGGATATTATCATCTCTACTGAGACTTCGCTCATTGTGGGGCGGATGAGATTCAGGAGCCAAAGCAGAGGATGGCCGGATGGGGGGCGATCCAACCCCAAGGGCACGAGTTACAATGGGCATCATTTGTTGGAACATCCTGGACATATCGATCCCCCCACCTTGGCCTCCTCCAAACAAGTTTCCCAAATCTTGGCCGTCAACCTGTTCGGCAATCTGATTGACAGCACTCCTCATCTGTGGATTCTGTGTAAAGCTCTGTAACATATTCCTCAATACATCGGGAGAACCCACTCCAGTTTGGTCTGAAACACCTGCCAACAGACCATTCAGGGCTGGACTCTGCAGAACCTGAGACATCATGCTTCCCATATCAACTTGGCCAATAGGACCTTGCCCTC